CTGGCCGGCTTGCAGCGTAATCAACTCCCTAGGCATGGTGCCGTGCCGTGCTGTTGCACCTGAGCTGATCGATCAGAAGCTTCGTCTTGTCAAACGCGATGCCAGCGATCGAGGCGAGGAGCCAGGGACAGCTTGCTTCTGCGGAGCGATCGATGAAGCGCGGCACGCACCGCGTTCGAGATGTCGAAAGTGTGAGTGTGGAACAGGTTATTGTGATTGGAGATGCGTGTGCGTGGTTGCAGGGATCGGGACTTGTCAAAGTGTGAGTCTGAGCGTTGCAAACGCAGCAAAGGCGATGATGCATCAGGCCGTTTGATCCAGTCACAGTCGTGCGTCGTGATACAGCATGCTGGTCATGTGCGCATCGCATCTCGTCTCCCCGCGGACGCATTCCACGCGCGCGTGTCGCGTCTATACGCGTTGCTTCGGCAAAGGCGTCGCGGCGGCGGGGGGAAAGACGCGAGATCGCCACGGCCGGCGTGCGTCATCACGTGTCAGTCAGCCGTGAAACATTCAAAATTCTTGAACCTTGAATCTTGAAATCTTTGAACTTTCAGATTCAAGAATTTTGAATTGAACAAGAGAACTTGTAGAGTCAAGAGTAGAGTGAGTCAGAGCGCGAATAGTCCAGCAGATCTTTGGTCAAAGCCAGCGAGTCTGAGTGTGCAGCCCAATCACAATCTCGCGCCTGATCACGGTCAAGCAGCTAGCTGCCTGACACAGTTTGAGTCAATCCTTTCACTCGTGACTCTGCAGGCTGGGCTTTTGTATTTCCATAGTAAAGATCGGACTGACTGCGCTCCGAAGATCTTCTAATCACGATGCATCATTCGCCCCGCCGCAAAGTCTTTCAGCCTGCGTGGGCCTGGGCCTGGGCCTGCGTGGTGATTGGGAGTCTGTGTCGGCGTCTCACACAGCTGCACCTTCGTCTGCTCGGCGACGCTACATGCATTACCTGAGTGTCGTCCTTGATCAAGGGCTCAGCTCAGCAAAGCTTAGTCAGCATGGACGCGGAGCAGCACTTGAAGCCAACGCGCAATCAAAGGTCAGAGGCACATACGCGCCTTGCGCACAGCAAACCAATTCCCCCTCTCGAGATCGTGAAAGAGTAGGCAGTACAATGTGAATGCTATTCTATGGTAGACCGTTGGTAAGAGTGTCGATCTCCCTGCGGCCGCATCATGACTGCAAAGACGATTTCTCCACATCTTGTCTAGTCTCTTCCACAGCAGCATCTTCAGTTGTATCTTGACCAATTTGCTCCTTGCTCGCGCTGGGTGTCGGTCCACCGATCATCCTGCCCAACAACCATTGCACCACCTCTTCCTTTCCAGCCAACTGAGCTTCGCTCATCGGTCCTCTTCCCGCTTTATTCCTGGTATCCCATGTGCTCCTTGCTTCTGCAGCCCGCCTATTCCTCTCTTCTTCTTCTTCTTCTTCTTCTTCGCCTGCTTCGGAGCCATTGCCATCTCCATCTGCGCTTGGCGGCGGGAAGGTGGGTGTGGGCGAAAGATTCTCTACGCGATCGACGAGCGCTTGTACGCAGTGCAGATGACCGTTGAGAGCTGCCCAGTGGACTGGAGTATTGCCTGATGCATTGGCCAGCAAGATGAGGTCCAAAGGCGCGCTCGCAACAATTTCCGACACCACGGCTGCACGTTGAGCGTGCACAGTGAAGGCAGTCGTCGTCAGCAGCGGCCTCGCGCAGTGGTGAGAGGGCAAGCAGGGCCAGGCGACAATGATGACCACATGGCCGGATAGCGCATATATGCAGGCATATGATCTGATCTCTCCCAGCAAACATACTCACCCATGTGGCCATTGGCAGCGGCATAATGTAGCGCAGAGTTGCCTTGCTCGGTCACTGCTCTTTGCAGCACATCCAGCGCTTCTTTACCCGAGAGCTGGGTGTTTTGACCAGGTGAAGCCTGGCTTGTCTGTTGTGTGAGCGTACTCTGTCCAATTGCAGCTCTGAGCTCTTCAATGTCTCCGATCCTAGCGCAGTACAGGATTTCATCCACCTCATCCTCTGTCAATGCTTGTCCGAGCGTCATGGTCGCTAGGCGCCGTCCGGGGTAGTGCGGGCTGGTGCCGCGGCGTGTCGTGCGGTATTGGCTGAGCGCTGGAGCGATGATGCTTTGATTCGTAGTGACGGTTTCGCAATTCAGGATTGTTCTTCAAGCGTGCTTGGGTGAGATGTGAGTAGACCTTGGGTGAGGTGTGAGTATATGGCAAGTCGTGAGTCCTGGAAGTCCTAATTGGTGGTGGAGAAGAGCCCGGTCGCTAGACATACAAATTTTGAGAATCAATTTGACCTGATCCAGAATTCAAACTCTTGACCAGACCCAAAAAAAAACAAGCACGTCACGTGGGCGTTTGGCGTGCTTGAATGGATCTCCGCGGAGAGGGAAAGTCGCCTGCATGCGCCTCTATAGCTGATGAAAGCTCGCCGCACGCGTGCACCCAGCACGCTCATCAATCAGCAGCACAGCATGCATCAGCAGCATCCGCGCTACACGAGTCGGCGCGCGACGGGCGGGCGGCGGCCAACCCGGCGCGCGGCTGCGCAGCGTGCCGCTTGTACGGCTTTGCCGCGAGGCGAGGCGAGGCGAGGCGAATAGGCGGGCGACTTCTTTGACCTCTGTGGCTTTGCATGTCTGTTGTATAGCGCAAGAGCAACGCTCCACACACACTCACCACTCGTGACTCACGACACCAGCAGCCTCTGCTTCTGCTCCTCTGCGAGAGTCGACGCTAAATCCTCCCGTCCTCGCGCTACATCACCCAGCTCACCTGACCCTGCCTCTGCAGAATCGCACGCAGCGCCAAGCAGACTTTCGCACCCAACGACCTGAGCGCCATTCCCAGACATACCCACAAGCTGCATCCGCTCGCAAGGACGTTCCTATAGCGTGCCTTGCCTGCGCTTGCCATGGCCCCGAGGCGTAAGCAGGCGAAAAGCACGCAAGCCAAGCAGCAGCCATCGTCGTCGTCTGCATCCTCATCACGGCCTCCAACTCACCTCGACTCCTCTAGCAGTGCGCATACATCCCATCAATCAGCCCCATTAGCCTCCGACTCCCTCTCCTCCTCACCACCGCTGGCTGCAGAATCTCCTTTGACCTCGGGAACACCATCTACTGCTCCTTTGGCTTACTCGCGCGATCCTTCGCCTGCCGAACTCCAGTCGCTCGACTCGGACGTGCAAGCTGCTCTTCAAGCGCACGCAAACGCAAGCTCGAGCATCATGAAGCAAGACGCTCACGTCAACGAGCAAGGCCAGCAAGGCTCGGATGCGGAAGCTGCAGCTGGTCTGGGAGCATTAGCTGGTCTGGCCGCCGCAGCAGCAGCCGGCGATTCGATGCCGCCATCCGCGGGCGATAGTCCGGCAAAAGCATCTGCTGGTAGCAGCAGCGTGGACACTTCTTCTCCCGCCAAGGCGCACCCCAATGCGTACGCCTTTAGTGACGATAGCGACTTGACGGATGAGCCGGACGAGGACAATGACCAGGAAGTATCCAATGATGGTTCTGCTTCCGGGTCTAGTGACGAAGATGATGTGGAACAAGGCGATGGAGAAGGTCAGGACGAGGATGAAGAGGAAGGCGAGGATGATGGGGATGACGATGCGCAAGCATCTTCCCGTCTCAGGAGCTCCAAGGGAGACCATCCCCTCCACACTCAAATCAGGCCGTCTTCTAGAGAAGGCAGCGATCTGTCCGATGAGAATGATAGCGGAGAGGAAGACTCTGAAGCCGAGGGCGATGGGATGGATGTGGATGCAGAGGACGCAGAAAGGAGCGCGGACGATGCTGATGAAGAAGCAGCGGCAAGCCTCGCTGCGCTGACTTCTGGTGGAACACGGTCAGCGACCGAAGCCCACGAAGCGGATGCTCTGGATGGCCTGGCAGCCATTGCTGCTGCTGCCGATGCTGACAGCGAAAATGCGACCGTGGGTACCTCAGGACGAGGCGTCACCGGTGAAAACGCTGCCGCAGCAGCGCTCGCGGCAGCCGCTGCAGCGCGAGGATCTATGCGTCTAGGAAGAGGAGCGCTGCCGAGGCAACATGGTCCGCGCAAGAGAGCCAGTCGCGCGAACGAGGTCAGATTGGACGACTCTGACGAGCAAGACGAAGAGTCTAGCGGAGAAGGCGCAGAGGCGGAAGAGGGCGTGGGCGAAGGTGACGCTGAGGTGGATGCCGACCTCGACAATGACACTCAAGACTCATCCGCCGCCGCTAAGCCTGGAGCTGCTGCATCCCCCGCCGCGAAAATGCCGGCAGGACCTACCAAACCTGGTCTTCTCTCTGGCGCGCCCCTCATCACGGTTGAAGGTGCAGGCGAAGGCGAAGCAGACGACGATGAAAAGGGCATTCAGAGCGCCATGACGAGTCGAGAAGGTACCCCCATGCCTCTGCCCATGCATCTCAAGAACCGGCTCGCTAGGGACGGCGCGGACGCTGATGGCACTCCTGCCCCTGCTAGCGAAGCTGACGATGGGGCTGCTGATGATGGTGAGTTCCCCTTGCATCTTTGATGCGCATTTGATGAGGCAAGCGTGGCTCAGCAGTCTGTATGCCCGCAGACACAGGCACAGACGAAGCTGCTCTCAAGAGGCAAGAGGCCATGGAGGCTTTGACCAAGATAGAAATCAGCTTCGCGGCTCTGCGCGATCGCCTGTACGTCGAGCGCATGGAGGAGGTGAACAAGGAAAGCGAGATGATCCTCGATGGTGAGTGACCCGCACGCAATGCCTATCGAGGCCATCAGGCCAAGGCACGAGCGCTGACTCTGACGCTTTTGTCTGCTAGGCACTCATCCCGAGCTTGTGCATCTCACCAGGCTAATTGATGCCAGGAAGGAGAGACGTCTGAACCTCGTCGAGCTCTGGTTCGAGCAACAACAAGCGCAGTACGAACGAGTCGCCAAGACGGAAGAGGCAATGACATGGAGCAATTGGCGCGTGAGTGTCGAGCGAAGGATATGCAAGCGAGTGACACGCAGCTGAGGGTGTTCTGTCTCCCTTTTGGCTCAGAATGAGACTGCGGATCTGCGAAGGGAACAGATGGATGATCTGAGTCGCAAGCGACGCAAATTGGAACGCGAGAAGAGAAATCTCGACGTGCCGCGCCCACCTCGCCGTTATCAGCTTTTTCAGACGGAGCTAATCCGCAATCCAGAGTGGCAGATCCAGCTTGCGCTTCAACAGTCGGAAGTCGAGTCGAGCAAACGAAATGGTGCAGTCAGTGGATCGAGAGGTGAAAAACGACACGCCAGCATGCTTCAAGATGAATGGGCAGACTCGAGGGCTTTTGTCGCCTTTCCTGATCTTCGCGGATTGGGCGACCAAGATGCCTGGCAGGATATGGAGCACATGGGAGTGAGTTTCAAGGTTGTCATGTTCAGGCGCGAATCGTCTCCGCTTGAAGCGAGCTGACCTGATCACTTTCGTTTGCGGCAGATACGTCCAGAATTCAGGATGAATGTGGGCAGCGTTGCTGGCTATCGGCCTGAAGAGGAGGCCCTGTACGAGGCAAATGGCGCACCAATCGCCGGCTCCTCCCTAGGCGTTGAAGGCCTGGCTCCCTACGCTCGGGCAGGGCCTTATGAAAGAACAGCATACGAAGCAGTCCAAGCTCAAGCGAATCCATATTCCAGGCACGCAGCACCGCATCAAGCTTACGCCGAGCAACGCCCATTGGGATTCGCAGAGAGCACGCATCACGGTCCAGGTAGCAATGGTCACGCACATTCAAGCATCTCCAATGGACGTGGTCCGCATGACACAACACCAGCTAGACCGAACAATGGTCCTCGCGTGCCGCTCGCTGGCTCGACAAGCGGCGTGCCCGGTACCGGTCAGTCGGGAACAGCGCAAGGACAGACGGCGGCCAGACCTTCGGGACCCAAATCGAGCACTAATGGACCAGCATCGTACCTCTCCCGACCTTCGGACGGCGCCCCAGCTTTTGGTCTTCGGTGAGCAAGCGTCATCTGACGCTCACCCTTTCCTCGCGCTCGTCTACCATCACATCACCTTTTCGTGTATTTTAGCCCGCCGTACGATTTCCTTTACTCTGGCCTCGCCACAGCTTCCCGCACTCGCATGCTTCGTTTGAAATGAAAGCTCGCTTGGATTTGTGCGAATGAATGCAGTCTGGGTATCAAGCGTGATGCCAAATCAAGAGACACAAGACTCGAGATGATTTTCGGAACTTGCGACGCTGATCGGGCAGGCGCCATGCTGTGTAAGAGTCACGTGGAAATCGCGTGCCGGGTGCGCGCACGCGCCGCCTCGTTGAGAGGACGCGCCGCACGGCAAAGGGCATCTCTCCTCGTGTGGTGGACGTGTGCACTTGAGGCGTTTTGATACCCTTGCCTGCCTTTCATCATCCGCATTAGCTGTCGCCGCCGATTTGAATGACTTGCCGAAATCTCCCATTTGACTCGAAGGCGGAGCTTCACATACAGGACGAACGACTGGAGGACCATTCAGCAAAAGCTTGACTGACGCCTCACGATGTCCTCATCGCCGACCAAAAGGGCACGCCTAGACTCGCAGGACAGCCAATCCGCGCGGCTTGCTGGTTCGCGTGGCAATGCGGCATCAGCGCAGTTACGAAGGGGTCAAGATGCTAGACGAAGCTCTCCTTCTGCTTCTGCTTCTGCTTCTGCCTCGCCTGGATCTGCTCAGATGAGAAAGAGCAAGCCGCCGCAGATGAGATCGCCGAGGAGCAGCATGTCTCCAAGACCTGCCACTTTCGATACGACCTTGAGCGGCATGGAGGAGGACACCAGTTGGGCTACGCTGGATAGTAAGTCGAGCCTGCTGCTGGAACACACACGTGCAAGATACAAACACGGCAGCTGATCCAACGCCCCCGCACCCTTTCCTATTCGCCGCGATTGTATGCTTCACGCTTCTCGACAGAGCTGCTCTTGGATCGCACACTACACCTGCACTCCCACTCTTCCCTGCACTTGCCCACCATCAGCTCCACCTCGGGTGGCAATTCCGCCTCGACGGGCCCAACAGCACGACGCAGCGTAGATGTAGCGCCAACGCGAGATCAATTCGGACTGATGCGAACCGCATGTCTGGAATACCTTTCTCCTCGTCTCGCCTCGCTCTCCGCTTCCATGCCTGGCCCCATCATTTCGCCACCTCGAGTGCGAGTAGCAACGCTACCTTCGCTCGGAACGACGGCGTGGGTGCTGGAGGTTTCGGTAAGAGCTCAAGCTTTGCCGCTGCCCGGCGCTCCGGTAGAAGCTGCGAGATCAGCAGTCAAGACGACGCTCAATGCTTGCGTCGTCTTTCTTCCTCACGTGCTCATTGCCAGGGGCGTCAAAGGAGGTACGACGGGCGTGGCTGCTGCTCTGCTTCCCTTGCTGCTCAGCTTCTCTCAAGAGTATCTCGATACGCACCTCTCTTCCGCCATGGCTTCCCGAGCTCTCAGAGGAGTGGCACTGGAAGAGATTCTGGAAGTGCTGTGGAACTCGAACAATAGCGCACGAGCACGAGGCTCGCAAGCTGAAGCGAATATTGAAGTCACTTGGAACATTGGCGCTCTGGTGGACGAGGTGGAGGATGAAAAGTTGGCGGAGAATTTGACGTTGGCTGTTCCCTGGAGCATCGTCAGTCAAGCTTGCGGGGGTGCTGGCAATGGTGAGTCCAACGAGTCGCGCTTTGACATGCATGCGCACGTGCTGGTCGATCATCGTCATCAACTGACTGCACGCCTGCTGCTCTCCCACCTTTCAGCCCCACTGCATCCCTGGTTGGGCCTCTATCTCTCATCGCACACCTCACTGCTACCTCCCTCTCGCATCCTGACGCGCGTAGGTCTGGCAGGTGTGCACGTGGGCGTCTCTTCGACGGGCGTGCGCATCAAGATGGGCTCGGGCAAGGGTGAGGATACGAGCAAGGCGAAAAAGGTGCTGAGCTGGTGCGATAGGCGTATTGCTGAAATGCAACGATGAGCCATGAGCTAGGCCGCGCCGCGGAAAAGACAGCGCTGTGGTGCGTACCCAACCGCCAAAGGGAGCGGCGAGCTCCGTGGATGCGTGGCCTCTTCAACCCTCGACATGCCCATCAGCGTCTGTGTTGAAGCGAAGCGCATACACGCTTCAGATTCTCGTGCTCCCTACTTGTTGTACCAACATACGGTCGTTCCGATAGATGCTGCTCATTCAACATTTCTCCAAGGGGGAAAGCTCTGCGATGCTCCTTTGAGCTGACAGCTCGAGTAGCGGCACGTCAAACGGGCAACACTCGACTGCTGTATCTCCAAAGCTTGTCTGAGCTGAAGAACCCGTGCAATTTCCTGCCTGCGTGTCCCACCTGCGCGAGTTCGAGTCGCTGGCTATCATCATCATCGGCTCAATGGCGATGCGTCGCCCATACGATTCGAGTCGAGTCGCGTGTCGTGTCGTGTCGTGTCGTGTTTGTTATGCTGTGCGCTGGTTGGCGAGCTCGATGCCCATGCATCGATCACGTGCAACTGGTGCCAAAACCCGCGGCGCACGCGTCTCGAGACATCCCAGCAGATCAACATCTCTCCTTGAGACGCGTTCGCGCGTGCCCGCGGCGCATGCGTGCCAACACCTCTTGCGCCCGCGCGCACCTCCGGCTCTGATGCGTGATGACAGCTATAGGGTCAATATCGCGCGCTCTGTTCATCGCCCCAATCATCATCAAGAGGGCCCATCACCATCATCATCATCACAGTGACGACTGCTCTTTTTCATACAACAACGTCCGAGCACTTGAATTACCTCACGTCGATTACTTCTTTAGCAAGCATGGCGAAACGCGTATCTCAGGGAGGAGCAGGAGGAGGCATCATGTCCGCCACTCCTCGTCGTAGTCTACTGACTCCTGGAGGTTACATGACGCCGCGCAACAATCTAGCTTCATCCTCTCTGCAAGCCGCGCACAATATTCCTTCTTACGACTTGCCCTCGCACGCGCTGCTAGACCTTACGGGCGATTGCAAACCTTCGTTGCACTTTGCTCCGTTGCAGGAGAGCATCAAGCAGTTTGGAGATGCGATTGATCGATGGGTCAGCAAGACTTTCAACGAGTGGCAGGATGAGAAGCTGGGAAATGAACAGAGGGAGATGGACCTTGTGAGAGAGATCAAGGAAAAGGAAAAGTTGATTCAGGAGGCTAAAGTAGCTCAGGGTCAATTGTATGCTGGTGAGTTGATGGCAACGGAAGGAGGAGGAGGAAGAGATGTTGATGTGGGGGGAGACGTGTTGATGGATGGAAGGGGCGAGGCGGGCGAGGCGGGGGGCGCAATGCTGTGTTGCAAAGGTCCGATGCGGCCACACTGACTGACGCTTTGATTTGGTCTCGCATGCAAACGCCTCAGAAATCGCCTCGGAGCGCGAAGCCGATTCTTCTGCGCGTCAGGAGCTTCGAGATCTCGAGAGGCGTTTGGCCAGCGTGAATGCGCAATCCGAATCCGCTTCCAAGGAGTTGGCCGAGGTGGAGGAGAAGCTGAAGCGGAAAAGGTCGGAGAAGCTGGACGATAGGGAGATCATCAAGCGGCAACAGGAGAGCAATACGGTCGAGTTGAACCATCTTGAAAGGTGCACTGGGCTGAGGATCGAAGGTACGAAACAGGGTGAGTATTGTCAGTGAGAGCCCGAGCATCGCATCGATGTTCGACGTGTCGGTGTGCCATCTGGCTTAGCGCCATCCTACCTCTTTTTTATTCTTTAAAAAGCTTCGACTGTACGCTACGTCTGGTCGCTCGTCAATCCCGACGAGTACGGAGAGGAGGTGGAGGCGGTGGTGGACCTGAGCGGCAGCGATTACAAGCGTGAGCACAAGCGGCCGTTTCATTTTCCTGCCGCGACACGAGTGGCACCACTGACCACATGCGCATCGCCCCCCGGAACCCAAACGCATTCCATCTCGTGCACGCTTCAGTCCTCTCTCATTCCCCACCTCTACCCAAGGAAAAGTTGGATCAAGTCATGAAGGAGCTGAACTCCAGCAGAAAAGTCTGGGCTTGGGTCGTCAAGATGAGGAGTCTCTTTAGGGAAGAGGTGGAAAGACTTCGAGCGGAGCGCAAAGCTAGGGGAGAATAGACTATTCGATGGATGAAAAGGGGGCCCCCCGCCTCGGCGTCACGCCACGCCACGCCTTCACAATCGACGCATACATGCGCCGGTCTACTCGACAGCTTGCCTTGCCTTGCTCCGCCCTTCGCTCTCGCTCTTCGGTCCTAATGAATGCATCCCGATGCGCAGTCGTCGCCCGCTCTCGCACACCGTGACACGCGCTTGAATTTTACCGCATCTCTCTCTCTCGTCTTGTCCTTTTCAATTCCCTGCCCTTCCTGTACCAACATCGAAAAAATGCACCGACGCACGGCTACAGATGACAGACGGTACGGTTTTTCGTTTAGAGGTGTTGCCATCCGCGGGTGATATGAGAGCATGACAGGCAGCGCAAAAAAGGAACAGAGGGCACTCGTGCGTTGTGGGAATGCACATCTTTGCAGGCTGGCAAGCAGCTGCAGAAAAGCCTGTGGAAGAGTGTGATCAATTACGAGAATAGAAGCGATGCTATACACGACGAGCGCAATGAGACGAGACGAGGGGTTGTCAAGAGAGCAGCATGCAGCAAAGGGGCACTGCACTCGGTCGAAAACCTCTCTGGGAAATGCAGGCCAGGCAAATCAGAAGTCTTCCTCCATGGAGAATGTGTGGACGTTCTTTTGCGTGCCATCTCCCTCCTCTTCGCCCTCCTTTCTACCGACACCAGCCTTGGAGTACTCTGCCACCTTCTTCTCGAAGAAGTTGGTCTGTGATGGGGTGAAAGGCAAGCGATACAGAAATTCAGTACTAGCAGAACCCAAAATCTCTGAGCGTACAAAGATTCACCTTGCCTTGAAGACTGATGTTCTCCATCCAGTCAAAGGGATTGGTGGCATTGTAGAACTTTTCGTTGCCGAGCTTCACGAGCAAATGGTCAGCGACGTACTCGATGTACTGGCACCTGAAGTCAAGGAGAGATGGTTGGGATGAGGATGAGCTGATTGCATCACACGCTTTCACGCGCGACTACAAGCGAACTACTCACATCAAGTTGGCGTTCATGCCAATCAAAGAGACGGGCAGTGCGTCGGTCAGGAACGCCTTTTCAATCTCGACAGCTTCGGTGATGATGCGCTTGACCGTGTCTGGATGGGCACGCTTCTTGAGGTGGGAAAAGAGCAGGCAGGCAAAGTCGGTGTGAAGACCTTCGTCTCGGGAGATGAGCTCATTGGAGAAGCTCAGTCCCGGCATCAGACCCCTCTTCTTGAGCCAAAAGATGGAAGCAAAAGATCCGGAGAAGAAGATGCCCTCGACGGCGGCAAAGGCGATCAGTCTCTCGGAGAAGGAAGATCGTCTGTCGGAGATCCACCTGAGTGCCCAGTCAGCCTTTTGCTTGACCACGGGAATCGTCTCGACGGCATCAAACAAGAACTCTCTCTGCTCTGGTTCGCGGATATAAGTGTCGATGAGCAGAGAGTAAGTCTCCGAGTGAATGTTCTCCATCATGATTTGGAAACCGTAAAAGCATCTGGCCTCTGCTGCTTGCACCTCTTGCGAGAATCGCTCCACCAAGTTCTCATTCACGATGCCGTCCGAAGCTGCAAAGAAGGCGAGCACGTGAGAGACAAAGTGCCTCTCATTGTCGTTGAGCTTGTTGTCCCAATCATGCAGGTCCTTGCTGAGATCGATTTCTTCTGCGGTCCAAAAAGATGCCTCTGCCTTCTTGTAGTATTGCCAAATCTGTCGCCCGACGACGACAAGGAAGGAGAGAGGGGGGGGGCGGATAAGCAAGCGCATTCATGCCTACAATGTGCCAGGGCAGCGGAGCGGGAGACAGGCTACTCCACTCACTTCGTGGAAGCGGATGGGAAAGAGGACGAAGCGACGCGTGCTTTCTACCAGCAGCGGCTCCTCCTCCTCGGCCAGGTCGACGTCGCCGACAAACTTGCCGTACACTTCTGAAGGGTCACCCATGGCTTCGATGCGAGCAGCGGCGACTTGAGCGGGAGTAGCATCGGCCGATATGTCGACGGGAGCAGCAGTGGATGATGATGAAGCGGCAGCAACAGAGTTGACGTTCTTCGTCTTGGAGAGGAAGCCAGCGTCTGAGAAGTCTGCCGCCGGCTTGACGGGCGAGGTGGCTGATGGTGCCATGTTGATGGTGGTGCTGAAGTGGATATGCTGCACCGGGGGGGGAAGAGTGCTCAATTGGGCTCAAAGGCGGTGATGTGTGTGTGGTGTTGGTGTGTGGAGCGGCTTTGCGAATGCCTCTTGTCTGAGCGTAGTGCTGAGAGGAGATGGGTGAGCGTAGAGGAATGGGGATACGCTTCTCTCTGGCCTGGCCTTGGCCTGGCTTTTTAAAACTTTCATGATGGAGCTGCGCTGCTGTGCAGCTTCGAGGCATGCGTGTGGCGCCGCGTCATGTCAGGTCAGCAGCATGCAGCGCGTGCTGCTGATGTGGTGACTGAGCTGCATGCCATGCGACTCCCGCCGCGCAGGGCACCCGGCGTGCGCGCCTCGCTCGACACCGCGCGCGCATCAATCAGCACTCTACGCGTCACGCGTCTCCATCTTCAACGCGTCTCTTCGAGCGTTGTACGTACGCGTGTTGCATTTCCTTCAAGTCGCGTCGCGAATCAATTAGCGATGGACAGGAACGTCGACGGTGCAGCAACACAGGACATCAGCAGGTCCCATGCATGCGACGTGGCATGCCGGTACCGCGACCATCGTCGCATGGGCTCAGCTCGACTCGTGACTCTTGCTGACGTGCTCGGCCATGGCATAGCTCGACTCACTCGTCGGGTGATCTGATAATCAGCATCGATCGAGAGATAGCCCATCCACCAGGCCCCCGGCCGGCTGGCTGGCTGGCTGGCTGGCTGGCTGGCTGGCTGGCTGGCTGGCTGGCCTTCTCCCTGCTCTCTGCCCCCGCCCTCTTCGAGTCACGTCACGTCGCGTCGCGTCTTTTGAGAATGCCGATTCAAGATTGGTCTTGCCCTTCTCCATCTCGTATAAATCCGAGTCGCGTTTCGCATTTCGGACAGCTATACAGCACAGATCTGACAGAGCCTGCAGATTGTGATGTCGAGCAAGCAGCGACACGCACAGCCTCGCCTCGCCTCGCCTCGATGGCTTGATTTGATTGTACAACGGCGAAAAGCGCCCTTCCTTGGCTTTCATGTCTTTGTGGGCCGCACCATAGACCTCCCAGAAAAAGAGGCGCGCTGGCGAACTTGCCATGCGGGCTGGCTGCTCTGCTGACCACTCACGACCGCCGCTGAAACAGGATGCGGACGGAGGACCGCGACATCGGATCATTGCCGCCTGACGTGAAGGGAATGCTTCAAAGTCGCATCGACCCCGTCAAACTCGAGTGCAAAGCCATTTTGAGCTCGTGCCCCGTGTACAGTAGAAGTAGTCTGCGAGTGCTTGCCTCCCCACAGCGCGCAAGGTGTCATCCCGTCTTTCACTTGGCGCCAGCCATCCAGATCGCATCGATCGCATGAGGCATCAAAAATGTGGTGACGGACCGCACTCAGCGGCCTCGCACACACATCTCTGAGCCCTAGTCTTGGGTTCATTTTGATCACTCATCTGTTGCGACTGCCGGCTAAAACTCGCGCAGATCAAGTGCGAGCACCAGGGGAAGAGCGGGCGCAGAGATGGCAACAGACAGATGACGCACATAGCATTCAGAAAGTCACGCAAGAACTACCCATCAGGCTACTCGTCATTGCTCGAGTGCCCGTGATGATTCTACATAGGCCACGGTAGGCTTCGCAAAGGCCTGATTCCTTTTATTTAGGAATCCTTCTTCATAGCCGATGCAGACTCTTTCGTGTCCTCGCCTTTCCGCAGCGCGTCGTCGGATGGCAGGTTGGGCAACCATCGAACCGGATTCTTTTTGTACATTGGCCAAGCTGGCACGACGAGCTGAGCAGTGGGATGAGCGCGGCCGATGATCAGATCAGCGCACCAAACCTGGACCCCCAACAGGCAGCCCAAGTTGCGTTGCTTTGCATTCACGACTGCTTCTACTCACGGTGATGGCCAGCAAGGTGGAGATGCCATAGATGTACATCAGAACGGAGAGAGACTCTAGCAGGTAGCCGGCCGCAAAAGAGATGACCTACGCGAAATGGGCGGAATGAGGCTGGTCGGCAGTGCGAGGAAAGGGCTGGACTTGACGTCTTTGCCATACTCACTGCTGCCAGCACCAAGAGCTCTTGCATGATGCGATCGGCCAAGCGTTGGCCTTGAAAGGGCTGCATGATTGCGCGTCGAGTCAGAGGGTCAGTGACGTGACGATTCTGCGGAGAGGGCCTTGTGATGTGCGCCATTCGGGCATCATCCATCTCGCGTGGATGGTCATGCAGATCTGCAGAGTCATCCTGCAAGCTTGACCGGTCCTCCTTCCAAGTGACAACCGCGAGATCATCGCAGACGCTCGCAGCATGCTGAATGATATCCACCTTTTGCGACGCAACAAACCCTCGCGTGGCCGATTCGTACGCCGTTCCGTATTCAGAGGGGGCCCCAGCACATTCCCGGCGTTGCGCATACACTCCCCAGCAAACTCACAATCTTACCCTCCGCTGCAATCCTAGCATTCTCGAGCCACGCATTGACAGTGTCCGTCACTTTCTGCACCAAACCGCTCATGACTGCGTCTTGCTTTCGGAGTGGTGCCAGTCAGTTGCGCAATGATGTCGAGTGCTCTTTGGACAGCGAGCGAGCGAGGCAGCGTAGGTGAGTGTATGCTGTTAGCCTCTTCTTGGCACCTTTGCTCCGATCGATGAATGGCAATGCTCCGAAAGCTGGTGGTGAGATCAGACTAGGACGAGTCGTGAGTCCAAGTCAGAGGCGAGGCGTGCTTCGTGCAGCGTTGCGCAACGAGGCACGAATCTTGACTGTCAGTAAGGGGCGCGATCGAAAGGCAGGAAGCTAGGGCGAGCAATGATGGAATGGTGAGTGCTGCTGCGTCTTCAGTTGACTCGTGTGAATCAGTATAGTCAAAGGAGTCACGAGTAGCAGTCTGAGTGGATCTATATGAGTGGTGTGGCTGGAATCAGTGTGCTGTCGCCGTCGCGTAGGCCGTCTGCATGTCCAGTCAACTCAGTGACCATGCACATCCACAATCTCCAATCCAGTTGTTAATTGTTCAAGCCTGCGATCACGAATTCATTATTATTCGTCATTCACATTGTAATTCACGCGGTTAGCGCTTTCAGCTTAAATTGCGCCGCGACGGCGCAGAGAGTCTGCGCATCTCCGCGGAGCCTGCTCAATTCCCGCGCAAGCGAGCGCGCGCCGCCCGCAAAACTAAACAGACCCGTGACTACTCACGACTTTATACTCACACAACACTCACGACCACACTGCGAACTGCGAACTGCGAACTGCGAACTGCGAACTGCGAACTGCGAACTGCGAACTGCGAACTGCGAACTGCTGACGCCTCGTTCACGAATCGGTCACGATCCACCAATTTCGTTCGTTGATTGCCAGATTCAAATTGTTTCCAAGTCAACAGGATTCGGGCATGGGTATGCTTGCTCGAGTTCTGAAAACGTCCCTCCCAGACATTCGATTTCGATATATAGCAAACGTCATGAACAAGCTGATGCGGCAACTCGTTCGTTCAGTACTCGGTCTTGACGTACTCTCGCCACGTCTTGAGGTTGGGATGGAGGGCGCGCAGTTCCGCAATATTGACAGAGTAGCCGGTGTTGTTGAAGAAAGCGAACATGGTTTTGAGCTGAGCACGAGCAGGTAGCAAGCAATCTGGCATTGTCAGTCTTCTCTTTGGTACTGTCAACAAGACAGTAGCTAAAGGGGGCCAAAGGCACACCTGGGCTTTTAGCTCACCTCTTTGAGACCATTGGCCAAGAGCCAGCCGATGAGGCTGAACGTCTGAGGAATCTGATACTCTTGAACCTCGGCGAATTGCTTGCGCAGCTGCGTCATGTCGAGCTCGTCGCCGGCCAGCGAGAGGGACTTGCCAGCGTACTTTTCCGGCTGCTGGAACGCCAGAGCTGCAAAGAAGCCAATGTCGGAACATGCGATCTGAAAAAAAGAGGTGGCGTTGAGCGTCGACGTTCAGTCAAGTCAGCGCACAAGCCAAACGTTGGCTTTGGGTAATGTCAAAGAGCTGCCTGCGAGTTCATACTCACCATCTGAAGAGGTTTCTTGACAGTGTTGATGCTAGCAGTGAGAACAGCTTTGCCCAAAAATCCTCCATTTTGAGAGATATTGTCCATAAAGAACGTCGGTCTCAAAATCGTCGTCTTCAAGTTCGGCCTCGCCTTTTGCAGCTCCTCGATGTGCTGCTCCACCAGCCTCTTGGACTCAAAGTGGGGAATGTCGGTCTTTGCCAATCCACCAAAGTCGACCGAGCTGTAGATCAGGTGCTGCACGCCAGCCTTGGCTGCCTCGTCTGCTACTTGGATGCCCTGTTCCGTCTCTCCCTTTACCCCTCCGTTGGGATTGTCAAAGCTCTGCTGTACGCTGTATGATGGCAATGCCGATGCCGAAAAGAAAAAGAAGGCTTTCCGTCAACACGTGCTCTCACGTGCCCGCTTGGACGCGCATGCACTCACGAAAAGACACCATACACGGGTCCACCTTTGAGCGCCTTTTCGAATACCTTGGCAGCATCATATTCGCTCTCCAGAATCTCGACGCCAGGGAGCTTTGCAAAGGCTTTGGCTTTGCTGGATGAAGCGCTGCGCGTCACCGCCAGCACTTTGAATGTTGGATCTGTGCTGGCCGAGTTGAGCGCGCTGAGAGCTTTGACTACTCCAGTGCCTTGCTTGCCAGTGGAGAGAAAGACGACGATGCGCTTGGCAGCTGCTGAGCTGGACATGTTGGCGAGTCAAGTTGGAGTTGGGGATGTTGATTGAATGCGAAAGCTGAGCGGTGATTGGTGTGCGGGGGGATCTGGGTTGATGGGGGGGTGGGGTGAGCATCAGGTAAATGAGGAGCTCGCGACTGTGCCCGTATAT